ATGCGACGTTCTAACGATGCCACCTGCATAGAGTCCTTTAAATTAAGATTTTTGCTAAAGGTGAACGATTTAAATCTTGACCCGTCACAGCTGTACAATGCAGACGAATCAGGGCTTTTTTGGCGTGTGATGCCTAACAAAACGGAAAATCCGTACCTGGACGAAAAGTAACTAAAGAGCTTGTAACCATACTACCATGTGGTAACGCTGCAGGCACACACGCGCTTAAGATGATGGTCATTGGGAAATCTAATAAACCACGGGCATTCAAAAACATCGATTTACCTGTACACTATTACGGACAAAAAAGTACATGGATGACAAAAGACCTTTTTAGAAAGTGGTTTGATGAATGCTTCGTACCTGAAGTTAGAAAATGGTTAAAGATCATAATTTTCCTCAAAAAGCGTTGTTGCTTCTTGATAACGCTCAGTGTCATCCGTCTGAAGAAGAACTAACAACTGAGGATAAATGCATCACTGCGATGTTTCTTCCGCCAAATTGCACTGCACTGATTCAACCAATGGTTCAGAATATCATTCAGTTTGTCAAGCAAGACTATAAGAAAAACCTACACTTCTGAGAGCCGTCAAAAGACCAACCAATAGAAAAAAACTTTAAAAGAATTTAATCTGAAAGATTTGGTCTTTGTCAGTCGTGGAGTGCGTTACCGTCATCAACTATTAAATCGTCTTGGAAAAAGTTATGGCCAGATATAGTCACCACTCCTAGCAACGTTCCACAAATCAGTGTTACTTCGGAAGTTACAGAACAAGTCGCTACTGAAACACAGATAAGTCCGGAAGATTTGGAAATCTGGTGCCGTGGAATGGATAAAGAGGAAAATGTTTTTCATGAAATGTCTGACGAAGAGATTATAAAAGAGGTTTTTAATTATACAACAAACAATCAGGAAAATAGTAAATTAGTGTATTTTGCTGTAAAATGCCCTTTGAACTAACCCATGTATATTGCTCAAAAAAACTAATAGTGATGGCCGGAAAACAATTAGAAATTCTCACAAACTACTTGACCAATCTACTCCAATTTTGTTGTGGTTATTTAGAAATACCAATCCTACGAATTTCAGGGATTTCAAATATCGCATTACCAACACGTGCCGAGACCTGCAGTTTGCCTCGGTTTTTTTGCTATTAGTAGCATCTTTTTACGTGTGGTCTCATTTTGTTGGTCTCATAAATGTTAACTTCAGGTAGAAATTACACTAGTTATCGCTCAAAACACTACTTGTATTGCACACAAACGATTCACATCTGATCTCGTCAACAGACCGTTCATGATTGACCGCTGCAAAAACCGAACAAAAACAGGTCAGGCATCCAATGTTTTTATCAACACCATCAAGCAGACTCACCATCAGGTGAGACAAAATAACTTTTATCGGTGAGACAAAATATTAAATAATACTGAACATCCCTAACATAAACACTTAAAAATCTTATAAGGAGAGTTTTTTCGTCCCTGCCAATCATTTAGATTGAATCCCAAAAGTCACGTTATCTTATTCTTTGTTGTCGAATAAAAGGTTTTCCCACAAAAATTGGTGTACCCATTTTATGCGTCCATGTTTTGAATACCCCTTGAGCAACTTGCAGTAAAAAAAACCAGACTTTAGAATTATTTCGCAAACCAGGGGTATCTTCGTCTAATAATGGGTGATTTTTTTGCTCACGAATAAATGCTTCAATATTGGCTTAAAGTGCGTCAATCAGCCAAGTCCAGCTCTTCCATTTTGGGCAAAAAAAAGTTTGTTATCATCGCACGGTAGCGCTCGCCATTCACAGTTACGTTCCGGCCATTGTCGTCTTTGAAGAAGTACGGCCCGATGATGCCATCGGCCCATAATCAACACCAAACAGTGATTTTTTCGGGATGCATTGGTAGCTCTTGCAATGCTTCTCGCTCGTCTTCACTCCAGATGCGGCAATTTTGCTTCTTAACGTACCCATTCAAGCAGAATTGAGCTTCGTCGCTGAACACAATTTTTCGATGAAAATGTGGATCTTCCTCCAACTTTGCCGGCGCCCATTCACCAAATTGGAAACGTTGTGGGAGGTCGTGTGGCTTCAATTCTTGCACCAGCTGTATCTTATAAGGTTTTACACCCAAATCCTGTCGCATAATTTCCCACGTAGTGTAGTAACAGAGGCCCAATTGCTGCGAAAGGCGGCGAATCGACATTCCACTAACACTGGCGGATACAGCCGCAATATTCTCTTCAGTCCTCACTCTACGTCTGCGTATTGGTGGTTTAATGTCCAAAAATGTAAACTGGGTTCGAAATTTAGTCACAAGCTTCCGAATAGCTCCCTCAGTAGGCCGACCAAATTGCCCGTAAATCGGAAGCAGTGCTCGATGCACTCTCTTAACCGAGCATGAATTTTGATAGTAAAATTTAATAATTTGCAAGCGTTGTTAGTTCGTAAGTCGATTCATGGTTAAATGATAGACCAAACTGAACAAGTTTGACAATGACACAAGGCACGATTCACGCGTCATCTGTCAAAAACAGTGTTGCCAAAAAGATACTAGCAAAAAAATCACCCATTAGTATTGTGCTGAGGATGAAACATATAATCGTAGTATGTATGAATGTTCTTTGGGTCTTAAATAAATAACAATGCATCCCTTTCCGTTGAAACCTCAAACGAAGGCGTCGTTGATCCCATTTTTTAATAAAAAATCCCAAGTCGACTCTCAGCGTCGTAACTGTGACTTCGCATAGAATGACTTGCCTTGGGATTCACGTACAGTATGAAATCGAAAATAGCTGAATAATTGGATTGACAATATAGGAAATGAAAACCTTCAAGTGAAGGCCACGCGACGGTGTTACCAGACATGAACGTGACTCAATTGCGGAATTTCTCGGATAGGCTTGATATCTGTAATACTCTATTTTTTATTGCATTGCAATACTGGTTGCCTATATCAAGCGTCGCCATAGGTACAGTATATTCAGATAAGAGATAGACCGGATGTAAACAAAAGGTTCGGGTGATTTTCACGCTAACGCCACCGTCTCGACGTAAAACAGGAGCCCTCATTGGTCAATTCGCAATTAAATGCCTATGCCGAGCGGCAGAGCAGTCGTATCAAGGCAGAGTCACATTCAGGTTCAGACGTGTTACGTATGTCGTGTGCATCATTGCAATTTGATATTTCTTTGGACGTTTTCGTTTGTTATCTTATTAAGTTGTTGAGTTTGTCGTTGTTATTGTTATACCTTGTTATTGATTGTTATTGTTATCAACTGCTTGCGCAAAATGCCCAGTAGTACAGATACTGCCGATGAAGTTGTAAACTCGCTCTAAAAATATCAACTTTGAAGAAGCAATGCTGAAAGTACAATTATTAAGAATTGTCATGGATCACAAGGCGGAATATCAAAAATACGCCATTGACGAAATGGCAGCAAGTCAAAATAAAACTGTGCTCCGTTTACCTCCATACCATTGCGAGCTCAATCCCATTGAGCTCACATGAGGTTAAAAATTATATAGCTAAGCACAATACAACTTTTAAATTTTGTGACCTCAAAGGACTTTTCAAAGAAGCACTAGAATTAATAACAGCGCAAAAATGGGAAAACTGTATTAAGCACGTGAAAGACAAAGTTGAAAAGAGAATGTGGGAACTGGACAATATTTTAGAGAAACAAGTCGAGCCATTCATTATTGACGTTGGTGCTTCAGGCAGTAGCGATGATGAAAGCTCATCAAGCTCATCTTTCCAATAAAAGATGTCGTTCATCAAATTCGGTAAGTTATAAGTAATTATAAAGCTACTGTATTTTTTAATTAATTATTGACATTTTTGAACCCATTTTGGCAAAACCTATTCAAGAATCTACTTTCTGACAATGTTCAACCATGCACATTTTTTTACGTTTTGAACGTTTTAATTTGGTTACATATTTACCTATAGATCAAACAATATACTAATCAATATTCTAAAAGCAATTTTAAGAGATATACGATTATTTTTAATTTAGGCTAATTTAAACGCCATTTTGAGATTATATTCGACTGTATTTCACCAAACATCAGGCGGCATCCGAAGCTGGAAATCGAAGCGAAAATTTTGAAACCCTTATGTATATTTACATCATTATATATTTCTTACCCCACCCCCACATGATCCTATATCCATCACCAATCGTATACACATCGAATTGTGCTAATTTACTACAAAGTTACGCAAAGCAGCATCTACTATCTAAAATATGTACTGCGTGACTCTTAATACGTCCCTGCCGAATGTTACAGCGTTCGATGATCACGTGCTCTTGTTTATGTCCGGTCTATCTCTTATCTGAATATACTGTAGATGTGAATTTTTGTCCTCTTTGAACCACAATACTGGGAGCCGTAAAAATGTGTACAGCTGCTGATTGCTACCACCGAGAAAGGTTATAGATGTCGTTTTATCCGCGAAAATATACAGGGTGTTCTAAAAGTATGGATAGATCGAAATATCTCGAAAAATACGCTTCTTAGAGAATAATCTTGTTGAACAAGGTTGCAAGCTTTGAAAAATGTTCATCTAATGGCGCTTTCAAACCTGACCTTGATCAAGGTTATTTGACGACAGTTTTTAAAGTCTACGACTACCTAAACGATCGAAGTATACATCATATAATAGCCAAAAAACATATATGAATTTCGCGATTAATATACTTTCTCGCCAGTTTTTGCATAAAAAGTAAAAAGCCTTTTGAAAATAAAATTATAATGCTCCATATATGTCCGACTGTTCAACATTTAAAACCTGTTTGTTTATCCTTACAAAAAACGCAAGTGTGCAACTATTACTGTTCGATATTGATAAATTGGGTATTGATATGCCACATTTTGTACAAAGAACATCCATTTCGATCATCGATCGCGTTTCTTGGAAATGAATGTTCCGTGTACCTCGAAAACTACTAAAAAGCCACGTCGTCCTAGAAAAAACCCAAGCCGAAAACCTCGACTCACCTTGGATGGTCGTAGTTTGTTCTTTGTTCAAAAAGTCAGCTGGACTTGGCGGCGGCGTTTTCGATACTTTCGGAGATCTGGGTTCTGGAAATAGAAAAAGCAAACACGTTTTAATTCGAAGAAAACCAGGATCGAAATATCATTGTCTCAGTTGACAAAGGTCCCAAGTTCGTTTATTTTTGATCCGCTCTTTATAGCACTATAGTTCATTGCTTGAAAAATTCCTTCACTCGTTCACTACGAACGACTGGTATTACAAGATCCGGATGATCCAATTGAACTAGTTGTGAATCAACTTGAAGAAGTTATTTTTCTGGGCGTAACACTTGTATTGTCACTGAGTATATTTATCTCGTGGGATAATGCCTCCTGAAACTGGCTTTTATCGGCGATACTAAAAAAAAAACGTTCTCGGGAACGGAGTACGTCTACATACCTACCGTTGCCTAGGTTTGTATTATTTACTGAAAACCATCTCATAAACAAAATATATGTGGATTCATTCGCCCAAACGTTCGAGATTTGTTTTTACCTCATAGCGAATTAAACCTTCCATCAGCTAGACTTCGATTGAAATAAATGCATCTAAGAATTACGAATACTCACAGCGACTCACCATACTATGTTTCGATCAACATTAAGAGAAGAGGAAGATATTCAAACACAAGTTGTCAGTGTCTTGAGACGTACAATCACTGTATAAGCTTGGAATAAATGTTTCTCCACAATTTTGAAATACACATAAAATACGAACATTGTGGAACAGTCAACTGCACGTATCGGTTACCGCTATTATTGGCTTTGGCCTTAATCTGCTGAGCTGCCCCTATTTGACGGATAATACGAGGGATGTCTTTTAAGTTTTGCATATGGAAACATAGTAGGCCGCGCGGATCGAACGTCAGTACTGAATCTTAACCTCACTCTTTAGTAAACTTAAATTCAAAGTTTCACAACGATACGTGCAGTGTTCTCACGACAGTGAATTTTTAAGTGTCGCCAAGTCATTAGAAAAATGGAACTCAACCGAGAACATTTTCGCGCCATGGTTTATTACAACTTTCAGAGACAACTATCGCAACAAGAAGGCCTTGCTGAGTTACTGTCATGATCAGGTCAAGTTAAATAAGAGCCAGTGTTGCCAGACGATTTTTTTTCTCCCTAGATATTTTGTTGAAATTTCCCGTGATTTCCCTAACAACTTAAACAATCATATTCATTTTAGAATTCCTTTTACCTATATATTTAATATTCACCTTGATATTGTTTGTAATTTGGTGTATAAGTATTGATAAACAAATGCAAACAAATTTTTTACGTATGATTAGTTTAATTAACGTAACAGGTATTTCTTAAAATATATAATATAAACTAAAATACATGATAAGCTAAGTATGCACATTATTAAAAATATAAAAAAAAATATATAAATAGCGAACGAACGAACATAGCATAACATAAAATATTTTGTTTTTAAGAAAACAATAAAGCAAAATAATCAAAAGTACGTAATATAATTTAATTTTGAGTTCCATTCTTCTAAACAAATCACTAGGGATGCTAAAGTTGCAGCAACTGTCATTTTTCAATAAAACTTTGGTATGTAAAATTCCACTTACACTTTCAGTCGATAACTTATTTCTTATTTTACTTTTGTTTAGATTTATATGGGAAATATCCTTTCGACGTTTTCACTTGAATGTGGCAAACTGAACAGATTAAACACAAAGTTAGTTAAGGTTGGTAACATAAGAGAATCATCACCAGATTTTAATTTTCCCAAAATACTTGATTAATTTGTATATTCACTTAAATCAAGATTTCTTAGGCAACGCCATTCTTTGTCTATTTCATTTACGTTATGAGTTGTCAAGTTGGGAAAAGTGGAAAACTAAAGGCCCTAATGATGCTTGGTTTTTTTGCAATTACTTCATCTGGTGATATGAGTGACATATGTTTTAGGGTAGTTTTGCTTTTATTATCAAATCTTTTAAAAAATCTAAGCCCCTCTTTCTGAAGTCACATAATTCTGCATCATCTAGTTTATGTTCATTATTGCTTATAATGGGTGATTTTTTTGCTAGTATCTTTTTGGCAACACTGTTTTTGACAGATGACGCGTGAATCGTGTCTTGTGTCATTGTCAAACTTGTTCAGTTTGGTCTATAATTCAACCATGAATCGACTTACGAACGAACAACGCTTGCAAATTATTGAATTTTACTATCAAAATTCATGCTCGGTTAAGAGAGTGCATCGAGCACTGCTTCCGATTTACGGGCAATTTGGTCGGCCTACTGAGGGAGCTATTCGGAAGCTTGTGACTAAATTTCGAACCCAGTTTATATTATTGGACATTAAACCACCAAGACGCAGACGTAGAGTGAGGACTGAAGAAAATATTGCGGCTGTATCCGCCAGTGTTAATGGAAAATTTTGCGACAGGATTTGAGTGTAAAACCTTATGAGATACATCTGGTGCAAGAATTGAAGCCACACGACCTCCCACAACGTTTCCAATTTGCTGAATGGGCGCTGGCAAAGTTGGAGGAAGATCCACATTTTTATCGAAAAATTGTGTTCAGCGACGAAGCTCATTTCTGGTTGAATAGGTACGTTAACAAGCAAAATTGCCGCATCTGGAGTGAAGACGAGCCAGAAGCATTGCAAGAGCTACCAATGCATCCCGAAAAAAATCACTGTTGGTTGTGGATTTTGGGCCGGTGGCATCATCGGGCCGTACTTCTGCAAAGACGACAATGGCCGGAACGTAACGGTGAACAGTTTATCTCACGTTTGGGGCCCGTCAATTGACCGCCTAGATCGTGTGATTTAACGCTGTTGGACTATTTCTTGTGGGGTCATGTTAAGGCTAACGTCTACAGGGACAAACCAGCAACGATTGACGGACTGGAAGCCAATATTGAAGCATTTATTCGTGAGATACCGGCCGATATGTTGGAGAGAGTGTGCCAAAATTGGACCTTGCGCATGGGCCATCTAAAGCGGAGCCGCGGCCAACATTTACATGAAATAATCTTTAAAAATTAAATTATATCGACCGTTCTATCGAATCCAATAAAGATTTAATCGTTTTTTCCAGTTTTTTGTGTTTTTTTTTGAAAATCAAATCCTATACCTCTTAAAAAATCACCTGTTACGTAGACACCAAAATAAATGTTTTCTATTTCGACAAAATTATGAGGATTTTTACATTCTACTTTTTCAATCAAAGTTTTATCTAAATAATCCTTTTCCATGTAACAATCCAAAAATTGTTCTTAACACACGTTCAACTCGTTTAAATAAAATCTGCATTTTAGCAGCAGAAAGTTTAGAAAATGTAAATTCAACATGGTAGATGGGTTTTGAAGAACATTTAAAATATTTTGTGCTTGAATGCCAATTTCATTGTTTAAATAAATTTCCCTTAGCTTGCTCATAATTCCCTAGGTATAGGGAAATTTCCCTAGGTCTGGCAACACTGAGCTTGTACTCATAAAGTTATTTACCTTCGTCGGCGATCAACTTGGGTCCGGCCCTTCGGACCTTCTCGAAGCTCTCCGTCACCCCTTCCAGCAAGTCGTGATCCTCTGTAGGCTTGTGCGTGGTACTGACCGTTTTCGTCGCGGTACTCGTCGTACCGACATGTTTCTCGGGCTGCGTTGTGCGTGATTCCACTGTGGTTGTGGTGATTGTTTTTGTCGTCGTCTCGCCGGTTACGAACACCGTGGAAGTGGTTGGAATTGTGGCTTTTACGGTTTCTACGGTCTTCGTAACGGTTTTGCCGCTATCGGGGCTTATTCGAGTACTTGTCGTCGTTTTTGTGGTTTCATCGGAGCGGGACTGTTCCTGCTAATCACAAGGTTAGATCAAACATCGTGAGACTTAAATTCGTTGTGATTCATTGGATTCGAGAGGTCTTCGGGGTAAAGGAAATGAAGCAAGTGAGTGTCATCCGCACATGAGTGCAGCTGTGAATTTTGAACGGACTTAGCAATATCGGATACATAAATTAAAAATGAGATAGGGCATAAAATTGAGGCACACCAGAGGTAATAAAGTGCTCATTTGACAAAACCCCAGAAACTCAGACGCGCTGAGACTGGCAGGTTATTTTATGGAAGCTATAAAATTTCAGTTTGGATTCAATTGGAGAAATCTAGTGATACTAAGGCGACACATACTTTTTTATCAAGGGCCCTGATGATGTTGTCCGGTGAATTAAGAAGAGCTGTTGTGGCGTCATATGATTTTCTAAACCCTGACTGATGTACTGGGAAAATCTCACTCGATTCCAAAAAAACTCAAAGATTTGCGAATAAATGTATGTACCTTTTGTTGTACTTCCGCGATTTTGTCCTCCACCAGCCTTTCCTGCTTGATCGTCGTGATTTCCTGTACAATTTCCTTCCGTTGCGAAGAAGCAGGAATCGTCCTTTCTGCGCTCAGTCGTTTCTCAATTTTCTCTCTCCTTTCAGCTACCGGTTTATCGAAAGGTTCGTCCTCCTCTTCTTCGGGGCTCTCGATGACCTTTTCTTCGGCAGAGTACTTGTCTTTCTTACCTCTCTTCTCCGCTGAAATTTTATAGAGATGTCCGATGTAGTCATAAGATACATGCCCGTCAAAACAACAAAGTTTTAATATCGAGCCCTTGCCCCGTAGGGACCTCAGTGAATGGAACTCGGATATACAGGGTGGCCAATATATAACTAATTTAAATGCAATGTCACTGGCGAGCGCTACCGTGATAAGGTGCAACACTTTATAGCTCCTCAAATCTAACCTGCAAAACATGTGGTTCCGGCAGGATGGAGCAACTTGTCACACAGCTAGGGAAGCAATGAATCTTTTGCGAACAATATTTCAGGGACGTTTAATTTCTCGATTTGGTGATGTCAACTGGTCACCAAGGTCACCGGATTTAACGGTTCCTGATTTTTTTTATGGGGATATTTGAAAAATATGGTTTATGCCATCAAACCCAAGTACTGTAGAGCAGGTAAAGAACAATATTACGGAAGCGATTGAAACTATTTCTTCCGAAACCTACCAAAAACTGTTGGAAAATGTAATCAAGAGGGCTTAGGCTTCTAGAGACGGAAATTATTTTTCAGACATCATTTCTAAGTTTCAATAAAAGATTAAGATGAAAAGTGGACGTATTTTATTTCATTTCACAAATATTCAAGATATAAACCAGTCAGTTACATATACTAAGTGGCATATAAATCCGAACACCCAGTTTAAATGGTTTTATTTTAATAAAATTTTGTATAAGTACTTAATGAAGCATAATAAGTAAATGATAAAAATTTCAAAATGATTGCGCTGCTTTAAAGCCCTTTGACCTTTAATAATGTGTGGATGCACCCTGATGTGGTGCGCATTCTCCAACGCGCCTAGGCATGCTTCTGATCAGCTGGTCAATGTCCTCTTGTGGTATCTCATTCCAAGCAACCACCAACTCCTCTCGAAGTGCTTCTAGAGTCTGAGGAGGACGTTACAAATTGAGCAATCTCCCACGCATCATATCCCACACGTGCTCAATTGGGGATAAGTCGGGAGATCTTGGTGGCCATGGTAACAATGTGACATCATTATGTTGAAAGAAGTCTATTGTGACTCTTGCAACATGTGGTCGGGCATTATCTTGTTGGAAAGTTGGATCTGCCAGGGTGTCAAGATAGGGTAAAAGATGGGGTTCTAGAACTTCGTGGATATAACGCTGCGCGTTCATGTTACCTCTGATGAAGATTAAAGGTGGCCTGGAACCATAAGCTATAGCACCTCAAACCATAACTCCAACAGTGTGATGAACATGTCTTTCAACAAAAAACTGTGGATTCCTCCTTTCACCACGTCACCTTCTAACCCTGGCACGACCATCGTGCATGCCTAAACAAAATCGAAACTCGTCACTAAAGACAATACTGTTCCATTCCTGATCCCAGAGTAACCGTTGTCTGCACCACTCAAGGCGATTACGTCGGTGTTCTCGAGTTAAAGGGAGGACCCAGTGTGGCCGGTATGAAAACAAGCCAAAACTTCTCATGCGTCGGTAAACACTTCGCATGGCAATAGGTCTTCCGTGTTCTGCAAACCATTCATTTGCAATGGACCTGGTAGTGGAGAAACGGTCCCTTAAGGCCAATAATCTTAGGCGGCGATCTTCACGGTCTGTTGTTCTACGGCGGCGTCCTGTGCCCCTTGCTCTTTGCGTACGGCCTTCTAGAAGCCATGCCTGACAACACCTAACCACAGTGTCTACACTTCTTTGCACTCTAACTGCAATTGCCCGAAAAGAAAGTCCAGCTTCTCGAAGTCCCACTATACGGCCCCTATCAAACTCACTAAGTTGACGAAATCGTACAGGTCTCCGTACTCTAGGCATCGTAACCGATCGTAAAGGATGTCAAGAACCAAAATCCGCCAACGTTGATTCTTTATTGCGGCTGAAATATTCACTTTTAGAGCGTTAGTGAATTAAAAAAAAGCAGTATAAAAACCGGAATGTCCAACTGATAAGGCTGAAAATTTGTTCACTTGTTATTTACAGTAAGATAAATACATTCACCAATTTTTATTAAAATAAAACCATTTAAACTGGGTGTCCGGATTTATATGTCACTTAGTGTATTTTCAATTTTTGATGAAATAGTACTATTAATTTGTGTAACTTTCATCCTTTTACATATGCCTGATATACTATATGCCTTCAATCTACCTAATAAAATATCCCTATCAATTTAACTTAGAGCAAAGTTCAACGGCATGACTTTTGCCTACAAACCTTCAGCCTGGTCATCGATGATCTTCCTGCTACCCTGATCTTTGTCCTTCAATCCCCTCTTCTCCGTTTCCCCTTTCAACCTGTACACGATCTCCTGTTTCTCCTCCCTGACCCTGCTCACTTGTTGATGATGGTCAGCGTTCAGGCACTGCGGTATGATGTCCTCCCTTCCTATCCTTCTCAAGGCGTTCTCCAAGGTGTTGCTCTGCGCCTTGTTGCCGGACTGCGACGAGAGCCACATGCGCAGCATGCTCTGCGCTTGTTTGGCAACGCTGTCCGGGTACTCGGACTTTATCACGTTTATCTCGGAAGTGGTCAGACCTAGTTGGGTAGCTAGAGGCACCCAGTCTTGTCCTGGAACACGAAGTGAACGATTTTTACTTCGTAGGCTACTGGCAAGGAAGTATTGTAATTGAAGAAAATCTCGAAAAATGGGGTATTATGTTTTTTGGATGTTATATGTTACATAATAACTACACAGCCACAGGAGTTCCCCAGGGGTCTGACTTTGTATAGTTGTTTGTCTTATTTCTTCACTCAGTATAGATTCGAATGCAGAGCTTTTGGGCCGGTTCCGGATAAAGCTAGAACGGAAATTAGAAACCTACAACTTACCTAACAAGTTGCTCATGTCAGCTAACCGCGGATCTGGCCTATAGTAGTCGAAGTTCTCGGTGATGAAGGTATTTCTTCGTAGTTGCTCCATGTCAGGCAAGGATAACGTGTCCATTACAATCTCTTCGGGAAGAACTATGTTCAGGATGCAAACTGGCTGTTGGGGAGGTTCTCCTTTGGGCACCTGCACAGATCGATTGCTCAGTATCGTTTAAATGTTTTGAATGAATTCATAAGTAAGATTGTTGACTAATATTATTCCTTTTAGAGATGAATCACGTAACGCATTATCATGCTAATTAAAAAGTTTCGTCATCGTTTGTTTATGCAGTCAATGAAAGCGTTTATGTTATTCGTTAGGTTCCGAAAATATCACACATACTTCGGTGGTGACAAAATATTTGATCAGATGCGATGCGAACTGAGGAAGTGCTCGATTTCAAATTGTACAAGGTCACTTCCGAGAAGCTGATAATTTTATTTTTTGGAAAGTTATTGATGGCGTTTCCGAAATAGACTGTAACTGTCGAGGTGTTCATCGTCGATACTCAATTGTTAAGTGTCTCCTGCAACATTTATTACTTTTGACAGCGACTCTCGAAATATAAGGATTATATATAAATGCAACATTCAGTTTGTTGTTAATGTGTAAAGTTAAGTGCAGCTTGGTATTTAAGTGTCACTTTATACTTGAGTGGCGGATTTTGAAATTTGTATTGATACTTACCTTAGGTTCTTTCATAAACAAACATCTGCCCACAGCTTCTGCATGTGGATCTTTGACCCTTACTGAAAAAGGCAGCCTATTTTCTCGGAAGGCTCTGAAAGGCAACGACAGCTGATCTCCGCTCTTCGTTACAGGCACTAAGTTTCCAGCAAATTCCACGTATTGCGGTTTTCCCTCTAACACCTGGAAGATTTGCCAAATCAGAATTTTGAAATAGTCGGAATTTTTCAATATTCTGATAGTGTTCGATTTTTCAAAATTTTCAGTATATTCATATCTTTCAAAATTATCACAACTTTCTAGATTTCCAAAATTTTGGCAATTCACAGAATCTTTAAAATTCACAGAATTAAAAAATCTTCAGAATCTCTATTGAAGATTCAAAATTATAAAGATTTTGTAAAGTTTAATAATTTTACAAATCCCCAAGATTATTGGAATCTTGATAATTCTCAGAATCTACAAAATTTTCAGAATTTACGAATTTTTCAAAACTTAGGCTTCGGAATTTTCAAAGCTTATTTATATATTAAAACATTGAAAATGATCAAATTTTTTAAGTTTATCAAAATTAAACTAAAATTTCACATTTTTTTAACAATTCTCCCACTTTACAAATTTTTTAGAATTTCCGAAATACCTAAAACCTAAATAATCAAAATTTATTTATATTATATGATATTGAAGATCGTCAAAATTTTCAAGAATATCAAAATACGGAATTTTGAAAATTTCCAAGTATTTCTCATTTATCAGATTTTCATTTTCAAGCAACTATTGCAATTAATCATAATACTGACCTCTACAACTCTGCTCTTGGAAATATACAGAATTTTAAAAAACTAAATTTTCCAAAACAGTAAATTTTCGAAATTTTCAAAATTTTGAAGATTTTTTGCAGTTTCCAAATTTTAGTTCTTAAAATTTCCGGAATTTTGACAGTTCTTCCAATTTTCAAAACTTAAAGCTTTGGATTTCTCAGAATTTATTTATATATTATTATATTGAAAATCACCAAAATATTCCAGATTATCAAAATAATCAACGTGACCAGCATGTTCGAAATTTTAAATTTTAAATTGCTATTGAAATTAGTAATAAAACTGCCCTCTACGTCTCTGCTATTTGCAATTTACAAAAATTTTGAAATCTACAGAAACTTAAACATCTTCAAAATTTTCCAAAATCGCAAACTTTCAAAATTCACAATTTTTTTAAAGATCAAAATTTCACAAATTCCCAAGATTTTCGGAATTGTAACAATTTCCCAATTTACAAAATTTTCAGAATTCTCGAAATTTCTAAAAGGCTTTGGAAATTCCAAAAATTTATATTTTAAAATATTGTAAATTCCCAAAATAATTAACTATAATACTGACCTCTACATCTCTGCTCTTCGCAACTTCGGTAAAGTGTTCCTGATGTTCCAGAGTTTTATCCTCCTTGTCATCTGTCATGCAGAACACTCTAAGCCTGGCCTCCAGTGGGTCGACGCGTTTTGCAAACACCACGAATTTCGCCATGAAAGGCACATGGATGGCTTCCCTAAAAATGAATGTTGTATATTAGTATTAGTATTCGTCGAGAGAGAGAGTGAGAAAAATTACAATTAGCCGACATCGTCGCCTGTTGTTGTTCGAGGTTTCCCGATTAAGTCGGGTATGTATAATTTGATTCTGGAATTAACGGAGAATAATGTTCTTTCAATAATAATAAAGCAGTTGGTTTCCCGATTAGTTTGGCCGAGAGTCGTTCCCCGATCGTGATAAAAATTATTTTTCAACTTGCTACAGTCAAATGGAAAAACTAGAGAATATGCTTTTGAAAAGATGTACTTTCATTTTCACCCGTAATACTCACTTATAGAGTTCCGTAGCCATCTTGGTCGCATCACCAACGTTTCTGCAGTCCATGAGCCAAAACCTGGCCGAAACCGTGGTAGTGAACGAAACGCAGTCGTTTACAAACGTCAACGGCGTTGATCCAGTTACGTCTTCCCATTGGGCCCTTGTTGTTCCACCTGGCAAACAAAGAGATAACCACTTTGAGGGACAATTCTCAAGCTTGAATCGCAGATTGGAAGCATGCAATTGGCTTTATTTCACTTTGCCTGAATCAAATTTAAAATTCTTATTCTGCATCGGTTTGATTTCAAGAGTCGTTTTGAACATTACTGAAAATCTAAGTCGACTATATTAACGAGTGATCGATTGTTTTTTTAGGTAGGTATTGGTAGGCGGTGCAGATACGGCGTTTGACATCGACGCGGTTTTTCTGTTTTTTTCCGGGTTCGCGAAACGTTTGAAAGGATTTAAAGTTATTATTCTGCATTGGCTTGATATCAAGAATCGTTTTGAACATTACTGAAAATCTATGTCGACTATATTAACGAGTGATCGATTGTTTTTTTAGGTAGGTATTGGTAGGCGGTGCAGATCCGGCGTTTGACATCGACGCGGTTTTTCCGGTTTTTTCCGGGTTCGCGAAACGTTTGAAAGGATTTAAAGTTATTATTCTGCATTGGCTTGATATGAAGAATCGTTTTATTACTGAAAATCTATGTCGACTTTATTAACGAGTGATCGATTGTTTTTTTAGGTAGGTATTGGTAGGCGGTGCAGATCCGGCGTTTGACATCGACGCGGTTTTTCTGGTTTTTTCCGGGTTCGCGAAACGTTTGAAAGGATTTAAAGTTATTATTCTGCATTGGCTTGATATCAAGAATCGTTTTGAACATTACTGAAAGTCTATGTCGACTATATTAACGAGTGATCGATTGTTTTTTTAGGTAGGTATTGGTAGGTGGTGCAGATCCGGCGTTTGACATCGACGCGGTTTTTCCGGTTTTTTCCGGGTTCGCGAAACGTTTGAAAGGATTTAAAGTTATTATTCTGCATTGGCTTGATATGAAGAATCGTTTTATTACTGAAAATCTATGTCGACTATATTAACGAGTGATCGATTGTTTTTTTAGGTAAGTATTGGTAGGCGGTGCAGATCCGGCGTTTTCTGGTTTTTTCCGGGTTCGCGAAACGTTTGAAAGGATTTAAAGTTATTATTCTGCATTGGCTTGATATCAAGAATCGTGTTGAACATTACTGAAAATCTATGTCGACTATATTAACGAGTGATCGATTGTTTTTTTAGGTAGGTATTGGTAGGCGGTGCAGATCCGGCGTTTGACATCGACGCGGTTTTTCTGGGTTTTTACGGGTTCGCGAAACGTTTGAAAGGATTTAAAGTTATTATTCTGCATTGGCTTGATATCAAGAATCGTTTTGAACATTACTGAAAATCTATGTCGACTATATTAACGAGTGATCGATTGTTTTTTTAGGTAGGTATTGGTAGGTGGTGCAGATCCGGCGTTTGACATCGACGCGGTTTTTCCGGTTTTTTCCGGGTTCGCGAAACGTTTGAAAGGATTTAAAGTTATTATTCTGCATTGGCTTGATATGAAGAATCGTTTAATTACTGAAAATCTATGTCGACTATATTAACGAGTGATCGATTGTTTTTTTAGGTAGGTATTCGTAGGCGGTGTAGATCCGGCGTTTGACATCGACGCGGTTTTTCTGGTTTTTTCCGGGTTCGCGAAACGTTTGAAAGGATTCAAAGTTATTATTCTGCATTGGCTTGATATCAAGAATCGTTTTGAACATTTCTGAAAAGCTATGTCGACTATATTAACGAGTGATCGATTGTTTTTTTAGGTAAGTATTGGTAGGCGGTGCAGATCCGGCGTTTGACATCGACGCGGTTTTTCTGGTTTTTTCCGGGTTCGCGAAACGTTTGAAAGGATTTAAAGTTATTATTCTGCATTGGCTTGATATCAAGAATCGTGTTGAACATTACTGAAAATCTATGTCGACTATATTAACGAGTGATCGATTGTTTTTTTAGGTAGGTATTGGTAGGCGGTGCAGATCCGGCGTTTGACATCGACGCGGTTTTTCCCTTTTTTTCCGGGTTCGCGAAACGTTTGAAAGGATTTAAAGTTATTATTCTGCATTGGCTTGATATCAAGAATCGTTTTGAACATTACTGAAAATCTATGTCGACTATATTAACGAGTGATCGATTGTTTTTTTAGGTAGGTATTGGTAGGCGGTGCAGATCCGGCGTTTGACATCGACGCGGTTTTTCCGGTTTTTTCCGGGTTCGCGAAACGTTTGAAAGGATTTAAAGTTATTATTCTGCATTGGCTTGATATCAAGAATCGTTTTGAACATGACTGAAAATCTATGTCGACTATATTAACGAGTGATCGATTGTTTTTTTAGGTAGGTATTGGTAGGCGGTGCAGATCCGGCGTTTGACATCGACGCGGTTTTTCCGTTTTTTTCCGGGTTCGCGAAACGTTTGAAAGGATTTAAAGTTATTATTCTGCATTGGCTTGATATCAAGAATCGTGTTGAACATTACTGAAAATCTATGTCGACTATATTAACGAGTGATCGATTGTTTTTTTAGGTAGGTATTGGTAGGCGGTGCAGATCTGGCGTTTGACATCGACGCGGTTTTTCTGGTTTTTTCCGGGTTCGCGAAACGTTTGAAAAGATATAAAGTTATTATTCTGCATTGGCTTGATATCAAGAATCGTTTTGAACATTACTGAAAATCTATGTCGACTATATTAACGAGTGATCGATTGTTTTTTTAGGTAGGTATTGGTAGGCGGTGCAGATCCGGCGTTTGACATCGACGCGGTTTTTCCGGTTTTTTCCGGGTTCGTGAAACGTTTGAAAGGAAACTCGGCGCTTTACGGGCGGGCGAGAGTCGTCGCGGTAAGAGGAAAAAACGCGATCGCAAACGGCTGTCAAAGTCGAGAAAACGGTAGATTTTCGCGTGGTACGGAGACTTTTTTTATCAGTCGTCTCGCGGTTTATCAAAATATCGACTCGAGATCGGCGTCGTTCGACAGCTAAATGAAGAGAGCGTTCGATATGCTTGATTTTTTTAGATTTCGCGTCTTGTCGATTATATTAACGACTGATCTTTTGTTTTAGGTATATCGTCGCGTGTCGAGACTGGATCGGAGCGTTTGACATCGACGCGGGTTTTCCGTTTTTTCCGGGTTCGCGAAAGGTTTTAACGGAAAGCGATACCGTTTCGGAAACTAGAAACTCGGCGAGAGCCGTCGCATTAGAGAGAAACGCGATCGAAAACGGCTGTCAAAGTTGGAAAAACGGTAGATTTTCGTGCTGTTCGACGTTCACTTTCTATCTCCTCCGAAGATAAAGGAGATACGAGCCTGACGATTTTTGCGTGATAAAGTCGGAACATCGGACATTAAGATAGCGTTTTTTTAATTTCTTAATCCCTTTTCGTTCAAAAATTTCGGTTTTTTTAAATTCCTCGACTACGTGCTACTTTACGATACATGACCATGTTTCCGGCTCTGTCAAGGCCTATTACTACTATACGTAAGCAAGATAAAAACTATATAGCGATTGAAAAATAAAGATACTGAGCTCAGGAAACGATCCTGACTGTTAGAATTCCCGTCAAATTTCAAAAAAAAAACTTTCAGCGCCTCAAAGGTACCGATGTCTTTTCGATACAGACCTTCGTTACGAATCGAGATAGCTACGATTTTTTTTTTATATATTTGTTTTAGTTCGCATTTTTCCGGTATTGTTATTCCGAAAAATTTCGAAAATGTATTATAAGATTTATTAAGCAATGCCTCGGTATGCTTGCATCTATTCTCAAAATGTTAAGCATTTGTTGAGAAACTCCTCATTAAATAGATCCGATTGTGAGGATGCGTATTTGCTTCGAGAAGTTGGGAATGGCAAAGAGGTGTTAGATATCTTCTTTACTACTCAAAAACTACATGTATACCAAGGTGAAATATACCAATTGCTATGCTCAATATATTCCTATAGTACAGGCGTGGTATTGATTGTTACGTGGAGTAAATAAAGTAGTTTCAAATTTCTTTTTCTGAAAAAAATGGAAGATCCTTAGGAATGTACAATGGCACTAATTAGATCTGGGTAATCATGTTTTTGCCTGGAGTAGCAGCAAATCAATGATCGTTTCAGTTACTATGGATATACAGGATGACATGACCCACCGCCTATACCAGAGTACCAAAAGTGAAGGCTGAGTCGCCTAAACAGTTCCATAACTGGTCGTAAGTGAGATACAATATATGTACAGATGCAAATGTAAGTGTGTAGAGAAAAAATCCGGTTCAGCGACGAGATTTCTTGAAGCTCAAGTTCTTGCACAAGCAACGTTCCTCAACATTCAGTCAGGCATGATAGATCCAGTTCAGTAGTCAGGTGGAAATTGTTAGAATATCGTTATCGCTTCAGAAACGTTTAGAAATATCTGTTATCATGCATAACTAGAAGTAAACATTTGGTTTGCGAAATATATATTCAAAATGAAATACCTTCCGCCCGTTGGCGAATTTCGAAAAAACGCCAAGTTAGAACGTGAAATAACTGAATAACTGCTAGTTATGCGGTACATTTTTCTTCAGCACTTTCAAAGACATTTTGATATTGTGACAAAAACGTACAATTCCTCCTAGACTAATAAGGGTACGCTTACACATTACTCGATATACATTAGAAAAATCGGGTTCAGTTGTTTTTACTCTTGATGCAGCGCTAATTGACGCGCAAGCATAAATCTAAATGCCATAGCTGCTATAAGGATCCTAAAGAAACTTTGAACTGCACAAAGATAGTAGAACTGGGAAAGACCCCTCGTGTAAATTTTACCATAATTTCGACAGCCTAGGCTCTTAGGTTTTGAGGCGGAAGTAAGGCGGGTCTGTCTGGCACGCGGCATCATGGAGAACAGATCCGAGGAGCAAAGTTCGTTGGTGTAGCGCTAGAAGAAAGCTAGATCGCGATCAGAAATATGGTGTTTGCAGTCCTTTTCCAAGTGCAAAGAAACTTTTTTTAGCAACGGACAGTCTTCCATCTGGAAGGTTTCCGCACACAAAAAAGATACCCAAGGTTTTCAAGGCTTTTCCACCAGGTGCTCGCCAGAGAAGCAT